TTTAAACAGAGTCTCGTGGCTCAGTCACCAGACACGTGCTGCGTGTTCCTCCTGCAGAGTGGAAACACAAACCCACTGGCCACACGTGTCCTTCACATTCCCTTCCCAATAGCCAAGAACTACCAAGAACTCTGGAAGATGAGGAACCTCATTTTGAACCAAACAAAGAAATAAATTCTAACCATCAAGAAAGCTTCAAGAAAGTGCACGGATGAGTCTTCTGTCCCCACAGGATGAGAAAAAGAGCCCCAGCCCTCCCCCAGAGCTCACCCTTGCTTCTTCTGCTGCTCACTGCTACTTTACACAGGGCACCTGAAGCCACGGCCACCACTCTCTCCTCCCCGTGCCTTCCTGCAGCCCCTTCAACCACCACCTCTCTCCAAAGGAGCTTCCAGCAGCTCAGCCGCCTGGCACCTCAGGAGAGCAAATCCTCAGCCTCGGGACTGAAACCTGCCTCTGCAAGGCACACACACTGGTGTGATGGTGGCTTTTATAGGGTTCCAGGGTGCCACCTCATAATCACAGACCCAGGGGTTTGGAATCCTGGAATCTTGGGAGAGACCATCAGGGTCCATGGGAGGGACCATCTAGTCCAAACCCAAGCCTTCTGTAAAGAACATGGGCCAAGCCCTGAGCCAGCCAGGCTGTTCCTGGGGGAACTGACCTTCCCTGGGAAAGGGTCAGGAACAGGATGCCTATCTCAAGTGCCTTTCCCATTTTAAGGGCCCAGGGTACAAAGCTTCATTTCCAAGTTCCAAGCTTTATGCTTTTTAGGTGTTAAGACTCACTCTCATGGCCAGGAGTGTTAGTATTAGGCCGCAAATATGATTTTGAAGTCTCACGTTAGGCCCCATTTTAGGATCCGCCATTTCAGGATCCGAAGCCACATGTTTAGGATCCAGACAGGCATTTTGAGGGTCAAGCATCCATCCAAACCCTCAGGTGGAGAGTCTAAGGCCCTCTTCCTGGGCTGAAAGCCCAGGGATTTTACCAGTGGGGAGGGAAAGCTGTTAGGTGAGGATAACAGGCTGAGGAAAGACTCAGCAGACAGGAACTGACAAGATGGAAAGCTAAATGCTTTCTAACATCTCCAAGTTGTTCATACAGAAGTAGGCAGTCACCTGGCCAACAGATTTGCCACAGCTTTAGAAGGTGAAGTGCTCAAGACCACCTATTTGTGCATTTATGGTGAAAACATCTGCCTACACACTTGGCCAGTAACAGCTCTCATAAGCTGTATTTCAAATCATGTGACACATCATTGCTTTCTCCTGCCTCCCCCACAACGGCCATAGAGGAATCATTGGAAGGACCCAAAACCATCCCAGTTAAAAATCAAGTCTTTAAATTCTGGGTATTCTCATGGATCTTTATATAAACAGCATCAGGGTCTTACCTTCCCACCAACTCTAAAAAGCTAGAGGTGATAAATAAAAAAGAGGGCAAGAGAAAGAAGAGATCAGTCCTAGTATTCAACATTGTTTTCCAAAATGTACCTGCCTCAATAGCTGCCAAAAGTAACTAGAGATCAATGTCTACCATCTCTTTAAATATCTGCAGTTAGATTCACAGATAACATGCCCAGACCAAATGCCATTTTTCAGCACAAAAGAAAACGGAAAGGCAAGAGGAGGTGTCCCCTCCACCTTCTAGTTTAATGCCTGCAGACCTGCCTGGGTATCAGCTGTAGCATTTACAAGGAGGGAAGATGAGAAATAGCCACTCATGGCTGCAAATTCATCAGCAACACAAGAACAATTGCCTAACAAGGTAGGGTCCTTCCCAGATACCAAAAAAACTAAAATTACTGCTCCCTCTTACTAACCAGACTTCTGGACTAGTTTCATGGAAAATTCTATTGATTTTCAGGAAAATATTTCTACTACCTGTGACTTACAGGCTGTTAGTAAATGCAATCAGTGATGTCCCCAGGCCCTTCCCTGGGCACTTCCCAGCTGCTCTGCCCCAGCCGGGAGCGCTGCGGGTGCTGATGAGACCCCTGATGAGCCCCCGGGGCAGGACCCAGCCCTCGGCCTCCTGTGCCCAACGGTCACTAACAGGAGCCGCTGTAATGGCTGCACTTGAAGCAACGGCTGCAGCTCTGTGCCTGGGGAAGCTTCTCCTCTCCTGGCTACCAAACCACAGCACAAAGGGAGGTGAGCAGCCATGAGCAGCCAGTTTCTTTATGAGAATTCTGTGTGGAATAGTGTCAAATGCTTTCTGAAGGTCCAGATAGACAATATTCACAGCCTTTCCCTCATCCAATAATCATCTTCATCAACAATCTGGATGATGGATTAATGTGCACCCTCTACAGGTTGGCAGGTGACACCAAACTCAGAGGAGTGGCTTGATATTCCAGAGGGTTTTGATGCCATCCAGAATGACCTGGAGAGGCTCGAGAAATGGGCTGACAGGAGTCTCCTAAAGTTCTCCTGAAAAAGGAGACGTGCAAAGTTCTGTCCCTGGAGGGGAACAACCCCAGGCACCAATATCCACTGGGGGCCACCTAGCTGGAAAGCAGCTTGGCTGAAAAAGACCTGAGGGTCTTGGTGGACACTAAGCTGGACATAAGCTTTAAAGAAAATTCATGGTGTCTTAGGGTGTGTTAGGTGAAATATTGCCAGGAGGTGGAGGGTGCTCAGCACTGGTGGGACCACCCCTTGGGTGCTGTGCCCAGCACTGGGCTCCTCAGCACATGAGAGATGGGGACATACTGGTGAAAGCCTCAAAGGTCATGAAGATGACTGAGAGACTGGAGGGAAGGTACAAGGAGGATGGAGCCAAGCTCTTCTCAGTGGTGCCCAGTACCAGGACCAGAGGCCATGAAACACAGGAGGGTCCCTCTGAACATCAGGAGACACTTTTTCACAGGGAGGTTGACCAAGCATTGGCACAGGTTGCTCAGCGAGGCTGTGGAGATGCCATCCTTGGCAGGATTTAGAAGCTGTGTGGACACAGTCCTGGGCAACCAGTTCTGGGTGGCTCTTCTTGACCAGCCAATCCCCAGGGGTGCGTCACCATGGCTCTTTGAAGTCCCTCCAGAAGAACATGGAGCCTTTCCTCCATCCAAGGTGTCTTCCTGGGGTTGACAAGAGGTGATGGTGTGACAGGGAGAAAGGAGAGACTGTCACAGGGGCTGTGGCAGGTGACAATGGGGTTGACGGTGTAACAGGGGACCGACCCAGGCTCTGACAGGACTCAGGTGATAGGGTCTGCACTGAGTGTGACGGGGCGACAGGGATGTGAGAGTGCGACAGAGCTGTGATGGGGATAGGAGGCTGGGGAGGGTCTGGGGCAGGAGGGGGTTACCTGAGATGGGCTGAGGGGCGCCTGATTGGATGAATGAGGGTTGCGGGGGGTGCGGGAGGCCTTGTGGGACTGTTGGGGCCTGGCGGGGCTGTTGGGGCCTGGCAGGCTGTTGGGGCCTGGCGGGACCTGG